AAGAGATCGAATAACATTCACAATGTTGTCGTGCACAGCTTATAGAAAAAAAGGATTACGCTTTCACTATTGTTTTGTATATCACATATTAATATACGTTGGTGACGGTATGACTAATTTTATGTGGGCGTGAATGGATATAAGATTTACTGCCAAAACAATTAACTTAGCTTCCATATATATATATAGTATTTTATAACTTGGCTTTGAGTCTCTTTGTAATAATAAAGCCTTATTTCAGACAATTTGTGAACACATAATGTCTGTCTGTCTGTTTATCGACATAGAACTTTTCATTGATGTGCACCAGTTCAAGTCGCCACACTCCACTCCATTTAGCACACAAAGCAAGAGAAGAAAGGAGAAGAAATGCATAATAGAGACAGTAAACAGAGGTGTGAGACAAAGGAATAGTAATAACGAAGAACAATATACTTTCATTGGCATCTGCGCCAGCCATTGAGAACGATTTTAAGCCATATCACCGATTTTCTCCAGCCTTCATTGGTTTTTACCGTCCCGAGGACCCCAACCAGTCTGAAATTCCACACCTCCCTACGTGACTGGCTGGCTTAAACTAACTGTTGTAGATTTCACTTACTGATGAAGCGATGTTTTGGTTTGACCACCACTAGCTAACTCTTTTCCAACCTGATCGATCCTGTGTCAGCTAACATCGCCCGTCGAGGAAGGTGATGACTAGGCATACGTAACACATGTCCTAACCATCTCAGTCTATGTAACTTCACAACTTCGTCGATTGATTTCCCCTCCTTACCAGTACCCGACCGATGCCTACCCTCAATATTGCTCACCTTATTATACCACTTAACACACACGGGAGATAGAGCGCAGGTACCTATGATCGAAGATAGCTAATCTTTTCATGTCTTCCACTCTCAGTGGTCAAGTATGACAGCCATAAAGGAAGGAGAGAAGTGGACAGCTGAGCAGTACACCCGGCTTTTGGTCGATAGCCAATCGGATATAACATCTACGCCAGAGACGGGCATATGGAAAGCTAACCCTCTGTATCCGTGGTGAGATTTCGTCAGATATCAACCAACTGGCATTGGCTGATGATGCGTCGGTAGCACAGTGTTTAGGACTCTCGCCGACCATGCACATGGTCCAAGGTTCGATCCGCTGCCGACGCACACCTGATATCTATGATCGGCCTGTAAAATTTGGGCTACCGATATCACATGCTGAAAATTCCATACTAGTACCAAAAATACAGTGTGGAATCCAGCTGTAATCAAAATAAATTAAAAAAAATAAGTGAAGCGGTCAATGTGATCTAACACTTCACTCCTTATATCTAAATTAGGAGTCATTGTAGTCCAGTCCAGAGTATGGTCAATCCACCTCAATTTCTGCCTGTATATTTGTTGCACAATCGGTTCCTGGTGAGTTGGTTTGCTCCCACAGATGCTGATCTGTTGCTGATCTTTTCTGGCTGGCCGTCTAATGTTGAGTATTGGGCGAAAACAGCTGTTGATGAAGGTTTGTAGTCTTTTCGAAGTGCCCTTCATGACGCTGCCCCAAGTCTCTCATCCGTTTAGTAAGTAGCACTTACTTCATATTGGAGTTGAAAATCCGGCTCTTATTTTCATTTTCATGCTGAGTGCTGTTGGCCTCCACACAGACTTGAGAGAAATGAAAGCTCGCCTTGCTCTCCCGATCCTACCTTTGATATCCTCGTCAGTTCCGTCCGCCTGTAGTTGGAACGATGCTTCCCAGGTAGGCAGGTAGTTAGAGGAGGTTGCTTCTTTCAGATTTTTCCAATTTATCCTGATTATTGTCTGATGTAGTTGCTATTGCTGTCACTGTTGCCCAGGAGTCTTCATCACCTCTGTTTTCTCTATGTTCACCCGAAGGAAGGCCTATCTTCTCTGGATGCTTCTTCTGCCAACTTGTAGCTTTTCACTTGCATATCCTCCAGTTTGTAGGAAATCAGACATATATCGTCGGCGAAGTTCAGATCCTTCAAGTTTTTTTTGTGTGGGTCCTTTTTATGCCTGTTTCACCGCTGCCAGCCACTACCTGTCTCATTATGCTGTCTACCGAAATCAGGAAAATCACTGGAGATAGTTGGCAGCCAGCCAGGTTGTCTTACTCCCGTATACTCAACACACGGTACTGGAAATAAATGCAAACTGATGCTCAAATGTAAGCCTCTAATTAAATTAGGTTACTGTGATAAAGTCAGATGTTAACTATTCATGGTGTAATCTAAATATTTCGTTATTTGAATGAATGTCATACTGATGTGAAATTAAATAAATCTATCTTTAACACAATCATTTACACAGATGATAGTTGTGAGATTGTTCTTAGCTGTCTTTCGAGTTATAATTATGTTTAATGTTATGCTCAGTAGACGTAGGGCTTTGATATCACTAAAGTATGCAAGCTTTCATGACGGACAGTGTTAGCTGACATAGAAACAGGCTGCAAAAGACCTAGTGACAATCAAACCAAACCTTGAAAGCTGTCCATAAAATCTTTTTCAATTAGTTTGAGCCAACCACGTAACGAAGTGTAAGCTTTCCTGGGATACTAAAAACTAATGACTGGAGGCAATCGGTGTTATGACTCAAAATCGTTGTAAATGGCCTAGTTTGTATTCTTCATCCTTTGTGATCCACCACGTTACTTTTCTTTCTTCCTCACATTTCTGCTTATATTATCGTTCACTTGAATCTCTCTTTTTTGTCTTCCTTTACGTACCCCACGGAGTGTGGCAAGTTGAACTGGTGCATTTCTGCGCAATGGTCTATGCTGAAGACTCAGTCAGTCAGTCGTGCTTCTGTGATAGTTCACATCGAATCCTTAGTTGATTCTACCATAAAATTCATATTTCACGGGAACAATAGGAATACCTATGTGGTGAGAGCTGGCTGTTAGTCAAAATTGGTGGACAGTAATTTACGTCAATGTTTATATCCTCAATATTGGTCGTGAGAAAAATGAGAAGAAAGGCTTTGCGTAGGCGGATACAGTTAACATATAGGTGATCTGACATTCAAGAAACAACCACAAAGAGATGCAAGGTCAACTTTCTGTGAGAAACAACCAATCAGAAGACTGTGTTTTTCTGCTAACAATGATCTATAATAATGTACATGAAAATCTCTAAATATGTGTTGATTTCCTGGTGACTCTAAAGAATAGCGGCCCAAACCGAAACGACCTTTTAACGCAAAAGTGACCTTGACAGGGACAACTTCGGCCAATGAGAAGGCTAAAAAAGAAAGGCGCATAATTGTAAAAAACGGTTTATATATAAGTAATGCAATCATAATAAACAGTTACAAAGAATGGCGTTCGCGTATATGTTGCAAAAAAACCTACCAGTTTCTCATAGGAGTCTTCATAGTCATATGAAACCAGTTTCGGTACATAAATTCATCCAGGTAACTGTAAATCATGGGATTTATCGATCCATTAACCGCTCTTATACGTCTTTTTAGACGACTCCAAAATCTTTCAATGGAACTGGTGTGGGTTCCATCCAAAGGATTCCGGAAACCGTCCGTATGATTAACAACATGATGAATGTACCCATGATTCGATAATTGACGGTATCCGCTCCATTCATCTGTATGAATAGTCGTCCCCGGCAACACCAAACGCTTATTAATAGGCACTAATACTGCTGCACTGCGATTGGGAATCGCTTCTATATACCCTTTGCGCAGTGTCGTGTCGTAGATACCCAGTATCCACTGCTGGTTTGCTTGTAATCTCCCGCGGTTGTATTTCCTTTTTATAAGTACAGTCTCATCAATATGGACTATGCTGCCGACTCCTCCGAGAACTTGAGTCAGGGTGTTCATTTTCCAGGAGGAAACATCTCTGCAGTAGTTGTACCATTGCACTGCTGACACCTCTGAATTTTCTGTTTCATAAGCTTTAGCTGTGACTGCTCTTTTCAGGACCCAGAAGTTACAGATCATTAAAATTTTCGTCAAAGGTAGTTTAGACCTTGAGAGAAAAGTTCCTAAGGGATCTGTAAACAAAAAAACAACGACAAACCTTCTCGAACCAATTTCCTCCTTCGGCACTCAGTACATCTGTATACAAAGCCATCAATGGCCTCTGTGTATTTTTGTATATGCATAACTCCTCCGCATTGGCAAATTTTCGACAAAGCTATCAGTCCGTTATCCAAACAGTAATCGAAAACATCCATGATTACTTCCGAAAATGATGCAGTCAGCTGATTCCTCGCTCAAGGTCACTTTTTTGTTCGAAGGTCGTTTCGGTTTGGGCCGCTATTCTTTAGAGTCACCGATTTCCTTAATAAACGATCTGTTTTCTGGCCCTTGTCTTCTGTTGTTACACCTATCTTCATTATCAAGAATCCTACTAAATGCCACAGAAAACGCATTTAACTCCTAATTTTTTGGAACCAGTTTTTCAATCTTGTTTGAGAAATAATCTTCCCAATCTTTCACTTCTTGTTTTGACCTTGAAATTGAATCTATTTCTTGTATCACCATGGGTGCATTCACAGAATTCCTCGTATGTTCCACACTGTTATTGCCTTCAAACGCTTAAAAAGCTCATGTACGCATTGATTTTTTAAATCAAATTGCATCAGAGGTTCCACGGCCTTCTATCATGTCAGTAAATAAAACTCATATACCTTGAACTATATTCGAATAATGCGTCGGAGGCACAGCGGTAGAATGCTCGCCGACTACGCACATGGGCCGGGGTTCGATCCTCGGTTACCGACTCAATCCTTCACCTCGCTAAGCCAGTAATAATATTGGTAAAGAGGGAAGGTTAGGCATGAAGCTAGCAACCACATCCCTTAAAAAAAAATAAACACCACTGCAACCCAAACTTTAGAGCTCTGGTTTGAAGCCCTATGTTCCACCACTGGGAACGTGTAAGAATAAAAATTTTAAAAAATATTCGAATAACATTATTGCAAAGTTAATATTATTAACCTAACTGTCTGTTACTCACTGATTTCTTTCTTCCAGGCATACTGGACTTGTTTTAGACGCAAAACCAACCTTGCGCCTGTTACGCAAATTCTTACAACCTTTTGTTAATCGTGATGTTGATCAGATAATCAAAAAATATATGGATGTAAGTATGGTGCTTTTTTTACTAAAAATAGAATTTTACATAATATTCTTTAAAAGTGTCCTCGAAGTATACATATCCTACTATGTGATTTTGTGACTACACGCAGTGTTGTTATAGCTGAGCTCTTTTTCCATAGATTTCTCACATTAATGCGGCTTATCACTTTGACAAGTTCGTGTATCTAGGTAGCTGTGTGAGTGCTGTCGGAGGTGTGATGGACGATATTGCTAACCTTGTAATAAAAACTAGGGTGGCATACACTGAATCGAGCCACCTGGGTGGGGCGCCATCTCGACGTTAGCCTAACTGTCGTCAGAAGTCGGGTTTACAATGCTTCGGTGAGCTCAGTTCTGCTTTACGCTAGTGGAACTTAACGTCTCCGATCTGAGGATGTGGAGCGACTCTGTGTACATTCGATCATTGCTACCTCGGTAGAATTGCTTGCGTTCCACGGTATCATCGTGTGAGTAATTCTGACGCACAGCAGTGTGTGTTTGGACGCAACGGAGATCACCGTTCGTTTTGGGGGGTTGTTATCTGGAAATACTGACTTCGATGACCTGGACATATGCTACCGTACCAGTCTCAATTCGCTAGCTCTGGAAGGAAGCAGAGAGGTGGTCACAGCCTATAACGTGACGTCGTGGAATGTAGGCTATTTGTGTTAGGCTAGCACCACTTGGTACAACATCACGACTCCCTGGTTGGTTGGTGTCCGTGAGAGGATAGTTCGAATCGGTGACTCAAAACGTTATCAGACATGGTCAAGATTTGCAGTCATCAATGGCTATGAATATGTTGTAATTTCCTTCTTTCTTCCTCCATTTCTGAAAGTACAATGAAATGATGAATTGTTGAAGGATTTTAACAAATATACCTACTTGCTTTCTGGATGACGTCCCCCATTCATTCTCTGCTTAATTTTCTTGATACATTATTGTTTTGCTGTTGTTGTGTGGCATATAAATCTCTTGGTGCTTTTATTGTACCAAGTTTGTGTTCTAGTTAAAATAAATAAAATAATTTTGAATACAGTCATGTTTCTGTATTTTTGCAGTTTAATTGACCGTAATCACCACTTTGACCCATGTTTATGATCTCATAACAAATGACTTAACGCAAATAGACTAATCACGCTTTTCTGGTTTAATAGATACTATGAGGTTTTTTTTATTTATTCATTCAACGAAGTTTGTATCTAAGTGAGAAATTGTGGGTTTAATTGTAAATTTAAACCAAGTCTTCTTGATAATCCTACGTTCTCTGCAGTCCTTTTCACCTTGCCCTACGATTATCCATAAGCCCTCATTTCCTCCACACGCAATCTCCTATATGTCACCCTCAGAAATCTGTCCAACTAATCGTTTCTGATTTGGGTTCCACTCGGGCGGGCGATGTCAATCAATGACCTCTCCAACCTGTGTCCAATCCATCTCCATTTTCTGCCATATGTCTACTGAGCAATAGGTTCTTGATTGATTCATTCCTAGAGTTTCTTGTTGCTCATTCTTTCTCGCCGACCATCTAACCTTCAGTATGGAGCCAGCGAAGCAGGCAGCTGTTGATAAAAGTCTTTAGTAGCCTGTTAAAAATACTGTTGGTGACGCGCTTGCCAAGTTTCTGACCCATTTATCAGAACTGACTGATTTAATATATTGGTGTTGAAAATTCAAATGTTGTTCCTGTATGCTGACTGTAGTGCTTAGGATTTCCAAACTAATTTAAGAGTAATGAAGGTTTGTCTTGCCTTTCTGATTCTGACTGGTTTTGACATCGTGATCTGTGGTTATGTCGCCTGTATAGTTAAAACGACACTGCCTGCCTCTGATTCTAACTTGCTGGTTATGGCCTGTAAGTATTCGAGTTTCCGTGCCACTAGACATAAATCGTCTGCAAACTTCAGATCTTCTAGAGTCTGCGTGTTGGTGCAAAAACATATTCCTGTTTTCTCGGTCTCGACAGTCTTCCCCATATTCTCATGTATTTGTTTTTATTCCTTTACGTTACCAGTGTTGGAACATAGGGCTTCCAGCTAGAGCTCTGGAGTTTCGGTTGCAGTGGTGTTTATTTTTAAGGGATGAGGTTGCTAGCTTCATGCCCAACCTCCTCTCTTCACCAGTGTTATTACTGGCCTAGGGAGGTAATGGAGTGAGTCGGTGGCCGGGGACCAAAACCCGAACCACATTAGGCGTGGTTGGCGAGCCTTCTGCCTCTGTGCTGCCAACGCACATCCCCATGTATAATACTATTTAATTCCTAAACTTCATATTTTAGCATCACTGTTAATGTTGTTAGTTTGTGTGCTTGTTATGTTACTTCTTCCCTTACTTTTCTAACTTACTGGTTGAGTTGGGTTTTGTGGCTTGTTACGCTTAGGTTACTTCATTCACTTATCTAGGGAGCATTGTCTCAACTACAGGCAGGCGGAACGGACAAGGATATCACATCGACCGAGAATTGGGAAGGCGAGAAACACATTCACTCATCAACCTGAAACCAATCTGGAAATCTTCGTCACTCAGCCAATATCAACAACGAAATTCGGTCGGATTTTCAATACAAACAACGTCAAATCAGTCAGTTCTTCTATACGGATCGGATCAGAAACTTGGAGGGCGGGTGGGTCACAGAGAATATTTCCAACAGCCTGTTGCAGACCTTTATCAACCAACAACTGTCTTCGCCGGTTCTATACTGAAGATCGGATGACCGGGCCGGAAAGAATCACCAACTGTGGGAAACTATGGGAAGAAACAAACAAAACAAGAACCAATCGCCAACCAACAAATATGCAGGAGAAAGTGGAGATGGATGGATTGGACACTCGTTCGCTAAGGAGGCCACTGGGTGACATCGCGCGCGCATCAGGCCATTGCTCGAGTGGAACCAGGCCGAAAGGGAAGCAAACGGCGAGTGGGACGTGAGTGCAAGGATGGGTGACATGGAGGAGATCGTGTGAATAGGAGGGGGGTTGAAAGAGTATGGACTAACATGGATGAAGGTGAAAAGTACATCAGAAGGAAGACAGAAGTGGTAAGTGGAGACTTTCATGAACCTAGCAACCCAAGGGAACAATAATAATAATACGCTGATATTTCACGAATAACGGGAATAAAGTCAAGTATAGGTATGTATGTATATATGAATGTTACAGTTCTCTGCCTGTAAACCTCTAGCGTCTTCTCTGTTGTAATCCAGCAGGTACTATTTTTTCCTTGATCACTTTTACAATTGATAATAATAAGCTGATTAGTGTTAGTAATTGTCACTTTTTTTAATTTTACACTAGGTGTTAAAAATGTATCCATATTTTTACTGATCTTTACGACTATGAATGTATCGTTTAAATATTTTTAAACCTTTTTTTTGTCAAAGTCTTGTGAATACACATCATAATATTTGCTGGCTGTGTATACCTTCTCACTCTCAACTGTCTTGTCTGTGAATGAGGATGATTTGGTGTTAACGCATGTCTGTCTATACACTCTTGTTTGCTGCTTGTATGAGGAGTATGCTTCGATACGTAATACATTTTGAAAAAACAAACATATTATTCACATCATTAATTCACGACTTTTCTTTTTCTTTATCACTTCTGAGTTTCACTCAATAGAGTAAAGTAACAACGACAGTAACAGCAACACATAATGTTGATTTTAAGTTTACGTGACCCTCAGAGGAGTGTTTAGCTATTGAGATGAATGTTCACTGGAAAAACTGAAAATGATGCTTTTTAAGAAAAAAACAAACTACAAAAACAACTCATCTCTCTGTTTATATGTATCCAAATGTTTCACAAATACGACTTTTTCTGTATATGTATATGTGTGTATTTTATAGGCGCGTGCACTGTCTCATAATAATTCTATTCTAACGATCATTCTTAAAATATGATAGAGGAGATTTGTTGTAGCTCAGGTGAATGATTTTGATGTGGTTGTGTTCTCTGAGCTAGCTGGATAGTTGATTTGCGAAGCTTTTATCGCCCCTAACACTAGGCGACATCTTCAGCGCCCATGCTTCAATTTGAATTGAAGTGAGCTTTTCGATTTCTCCGCGAGTTTATTAATCATCTCTCCTGGTGGGTGACCTTGGACGTGATTGGTTGTTTTGTGTGTTTTCACACCATCTAGGTGACTACTTGTATTGGAACTGATTGTTTCTTTGACTTGAACGTTGACCCGTTGTGTGTGTGAGGTTTCTTTCTTATTGGTTGATAAATTTTGTCTGTCTCTATGTGTCTATTGATCGATGATTCACTAGAATACCAGCCTGGCTTCTAAAAATTCTCTAGCATTCTTGTTGTTTCCTCTGCCTAAAATTTGAACGCTAGTTCTCCCAGTCGAATTGATGTCCATGGTTGTCTGTATGCAGTGAGGCGATATGGGGGGGTGGATATCATGTCTTTTGACGGCTAGCTTGTGACCGTGGATACGAAGACGAAGGGGACGTAGTACGCGTACTACTAGACAGCTTAGCCAACGTGTTAGTGAACATCTCCCATCGTGGTTTGGCAAAGGACAGACAAAAACAATCCGAAGCTCAATTCTGTCACATCTAATTGATAGTGGTCATGTAGTCGATAAAACGAAAGCCTTCAAAGTAATTCATCGTATCCCTCCGAATCTTTCTAATAGACTTCGTATTCGTCTACTGCACACAGCTGAGGCGATAGGCATTCGAACTATTGAACCTAAACTATGCATTCAAAAGAAGTTCGTGCAGCCATTATCCCTCCCGTGGCCTAATAAGACATAACCAACGAAAGACTTCTACACCACCCTTTATTTATATTTCCAACCCCTTTCTTATCATCCCTTAATCTTATCTTATATTCATTATAAACGTGTTTCATTTCCTTCCCCTACAATCTAACATTACGTAATCGGTTCATTTGTTTTTACTAGCCTTTATCGACTACTTCCACCTGAACAATTGTTTGTTTAATCATACTGTTTTTCATTATTCGTGTGATCACAGATTGCCTCATTTTTTCATCC